ACTCTCTGAACGGAAATGCAACCAAAACTGCAACTAATAGTTCATTCAATCTTGATACAACTATATTACAGGGATTGTTTGCTAGTAGTATCTTTATTGGTGGATTGTTTGGATGTTTGTTTGCCATGTTTACAGGATCTGTACTCGGTAGAAAGTTATCCATCATTCTCAGTTGTTTAATTTCAATTATTGGATCAATTGGAGCTGCTGCATCATATCAATATTCTACATTGATTGTCTTTAGATGCATTTTGGGTTTTGGAAGTGGAATTGTCACTGCAGTTTCTTCGGTGTATGTTGTCGAGTTGATGCCATTCCCTAAATATATGGGATTATTGGGAAGTATGTTCAATTTGGGTATTAGTTTGGGTACTTGTTGGGGATATGCCTTTGGGGCAATCTTTGTTCGTTCGAGTGAAATGTGGAGAGCTGTTCATGCTTTCCACAATTTATTTATCATTCCACTTTTTGTTTTGGTTGTTTTTATTATTCCTGAATCTCCATTGTTTATTCATGGTGGTCATCATGATCATGAGGAGGAATTGAAACAGAAACATCAGCAAAAGATGGATGAATCAAAGGTGGGCATTGCAAATCAAAATGCAGCCAATCCAACAGAAAATCGTCCTGTGGTGGAGGGAAACACTGATGAAGAACAGATAAAGACTCTTCCTCATGTTTGTTCTGCCTATGTCAATAATGACGCGATTGATGACTCTGAAGTATTGGAAAGAGAACAAGATGCTGCTGATATTGAAACTCAACAAGATGAATCTCCAATTGATGAACAAGAAAGACCAAAACTACAACAAGAACAACCATCTGGAGAAGCTAACACAGAGATAGAAATGCCAGTAATAACAGAAGAACCACCCATTAAGAAGAAAACCATGTCGACCATTGCTGCCTGCAAGAGATTATTCTGCTCCAAAGTTATTAAGGCTCTTATTATAGCTTGTTGGGGATGTTTTGCTATGGAATGGACAGGTATTCAGAGTTCAGTCATGTTTTTACCATCATTAATTGAGGCTGCCGGAGTTTCTGATCCATTAGGTCAGCAATTGGCTTCACTAGGTGTTTCTGTATGGCAATTATTTTGCATCTTCCCAACCATGTTCCTTGTTGATAAGTTTGGAAGAAAGCCACTCATGATCTTTGGGGTAAGTACTGAATTTAAAAGATCTAATTGACAATACGCAAATAGTTCACTGTCAGTTTCTTAACAGATCTTGCAGAAGGTTTCATCTTTCAATTTGGAGAAAATGGACAAGTTTACAAAGTAGCCCTCGCTCTCTTGTTCAATTGTTTGTATTTAATAGGTTTTCATGTTGGTGTTGGTTCACTTGGTTATGTTTTGGCATATGAAGTTTTTAGGGGTGAGAATGAGAAGGTTGTCGTTTTGGGTACTTCAATCAGCACGATTGCCATGTGGTCAACTTCAATTATTCTCTCATTGTTTTTCATTCCTGTTGTTGTAATGACAAATCAGGCAGTTCCTTGGTTTATTTTTGCTGGATTTTCTTTTATTGGAATTATTATTTATTCGACCTTGTTGGAGGAAACTTCACCAAATATTATTGCAAAGAGAGCTGTTGCTAAAGCAAAGAAGGAAGCTGAAAAAAAGGCAATTAGTGTTGCAGGAGTTGAAAATGTGCAGACGAAAGAAGAGGAAACTCAAAATGGAAACGTGGAAAATGATACCAAAGATATCCAATTGACAGAAAGCAAGGATGCATAATTTGATTTAGATTTGTTTGAATAAATCAATTTCTGAATCCAACGGGTGTTTAAATGACTCATTCGTAATTTCTTGTTCCATTAATCGAAACTTGTTTTGGATCTTGATAATCTGATATTAATTGTCCAGTTTCAATATCAAATTCAAGTTTAGTATTGGAAAAGAAACCTTCCAGACATGATCCACTCTCCACAATGATTGGTGTGAAGAGTTTACACTGTGATTGACAATAGTTTCGTTTAGAATTATTTTGTATTGATCTTTTCAAATGAGAAACCATTCGTTTGTTGTATACTGACTTGCAAACCGTTCGAATCATGTTGATCTATTTTTTTTTGATTAGTATCTGCCAATATAACAAATTATCAAAAAAGACAATTTCCATCTTTAGAAAATACGAAAAAATCTTTTATTGATGTTATCCAATAAAAAAAATCAAATTATAAATTCAATTCATATTTATTTGAAATATTTAATAATTTCGAAAATATTTTCAATTATTTTGTGGAATATATTGAAAAAAGTAAAATATTAAAAAAATGAAGAAATTTATTCTCAACCCAATCACTTTCAATTGCGGAATTTTTTCCAAGAAGCAACAAGTCATTGTTGATGCATCATCAGCTTCGAAGTTACTTGGTCAACAAGTGAATAAGTTCTCATCTTCACTAATTAATTCCTATTTACGAGGTTCATCATCATCAACAACTTCTTACAATAATAATAAGAAAACATCTTTTTCATCAAGATCTACTTCATCAAGAAGGAATACAACAACAGGAAGATCATCCTCTCCTTCATCGTCCTCTTCGTCATCGTCATCTTCAACATCAGTCAGAAGAGATTTAAACCACTCACCCTTT